AGAATCTGCTACGGTTTTTTCGTTAAGCCCTCTCATATCGAGCACCATTCTGCCGTTCGGATCTGTAGCTTTTGGAACTATCCACACAGGTATATTATACGGTGAATTAGATTCTTTAATGATACCAGCTTTCAATAATTTGTCAATATGATAATTAAGCTTATCTTTCATTGCATGTGGAAACTGGTATTGTTTACAATTCACGGGAATATCATCAACAGTATGTATTTCATGCATTACTAATTCAGTACCTGGTAGTTTGTCTCCAGGCAAGTAAAAAACATCAGCAACCATATTGACCAAGTCTATTACATATTCTTTTTCTGTATTATCTAAATGACCTAATTCTAGATGATCTTCTATTTTTTTTTTCTCAACATCGTTTGTTTCTTCTTCGATGTATAACGCGGCTATGTTGAAATCGACATCGTCAAATTCCTCAATGTTAAGGTCTTGAAAGATTTCACTCTGAGATATATTAAACACATGGCGTACTGCGAAACTAGGTACTTCCATAGGGATTAATTTCTGTAATAGTTTATCGAATTCTGCCGGTGTAAGTTTCTTGTCCGATGTTTCTATGATTAATGATATTAGGAAATTTTTAACTTCAAAAGTATTATCTTTGAAATTTATTCTTGCTTTACTGTCTTCAAAAAATACTGCACCTAATATTCCAGCATGAATCATTTCAAAATTATCTTCGACTACATGGAAAATTGTATCCGTATCGAAGAGTTTAATTTCTGTTATTCCCAGTCAGTTGCATATTTCTACCTGTTCCTTTTAGGTTAATGATGAGTGAATCGTCAATACTATTGCCAGGTGGTAATAATCCCTTTTTAATTAAATTACATTCTGATCCTGTGTCTAATAAGAAATATTCCTTCGAGCCAGTGGGTGGATTCTTTACTTCGATTCTTGGAATAACTCGTTCTATTTTTGATTTATCTTTGACATTATACATACAGCAGATACCAGTATAAACTAAATCTTTGACTGCTTTGAAATTTATTGTTCTATCTGGTAGGATGAACTGTCTCGTTTCGAAATCAAGAATTATTTTGTTGGATGAAAGATAAATTGCTCCGATTACTATATCACAGGGAATTGGGAAATCATTCTCAACTATTAAAAATTCAGTTTCCCTTCCATATATACGAGTATAGAGAGTAATTATTCCTACGGTTTGAAAGCTTTCTAGACCAATACCTTTCAATGTGTGTCGCTTAGTCATGTCCACGTATTCTAAATATTGTTGTAATACTTCAATCTTCATAATATTAACTTCTGATCCGCTGTCTAACATTGTATCATATATAGTTCCAAAAAAACTGACACTTATTATGGGTACTTTGGCGGCAAATCGAGTTTGATTCTATATGGGAATAGTCGAACATCCTCTGATTCTTCGCTGTTGTCTATCCGAGTTATATTCGTCCTCTGTGTCGGAATTACAGAGGACGGCTTGTCGTTTCCCTGATTCTGACCATCTACCCATTTCTTCTTATAGCAATCAGCCATTATGTGCCCACGTTTTTTACAGAAAAGGCATTCTATTTTAGATTTATCAAATCTATTAAAAGGAGATTGACTAGCTAGAAGTTGATTATTGTTAATATTGGGAATTTTAGTTTTGCAGTCTTTTGCAGTATGTGCTCTGTTATTGCAAAGTTGACATATAATTTCGCTATTAACTTGTGTCCTTTCTACATCTTGACAACTTTGAGCGCTGTATCCTAAATTATTGCATAATTGACATTTTATTTCATGTATAGCCTGTGTTTTAATTCTAGTCCTACACTCTTTAGCAGTATATCCCATTTTATTACAAATTTGGCATTGTAATCTCGATCTACATTCGCGTGCATTATGTCCTTTTTTCCGCATATTTGACAAGTTAAGTTATCTAACCTAATTTTAGCAAAGCAACTATTTGTATCGTGTCCTGATTTATTACAAAAATTACATAATTTTTGTTTGTTCACGAACGCGTTGCAGTTTAAAGCTTCATGTCCGTGTTCTTCACAAATTTGGCATATTCTTACATTTTTCTTGGGTTGTAGATAATCTGAAGTTTAGTTAATTTTTTCTCTTAGATTTCTTTGTAATTCTAATTCTTTTTCTACTTTGATAGCTTATTTTAAGGCATTAGTAGTAGTGATTCCTGGTGGGAGATTTATTTTTATTTCTGGTTTTAATCCTCGTTTAAAGCATACAAATGCATTTTCTTCTAAAGCATTTTTCTCATCGATGTCTATGGAATCGGTATTGTCTTGTCTCTTTTTTGCATCTATTATCCTAGTGGTTAATAGGCGAATTCTTTTAGCGTATGTTAAGACCTTATCATAGTCTTTCTGGTATTCATTTCCCAGTTCTCCTAACAATTGATTCATGGTTTGAGGTGGCGCAAAAATATCAGCTAAATGGGATATAAGTTCGTTAATGGTTTTGAAATTGATGCCAACCATTGTTGATCTTGCCTCTCCTTCTAATTTTCCTTTTATTAGTTTCACGAGATCTTCTTCACATTTTGAAGGCAGCATATTTAAGGCTTCCCTACAACCTTCTGTAAATGGTACCCATTGGTTTCCATTGAAATTGGGTATAACATTTAAGGCATCTTTTAGTTGGATGGTTTGCTTTACGGTCCTTTGAATTTCTTGATCCATTTTAGTAAAATTTGATTTACTTACGTGGTTTTCGCGTATGGACTTATTTAAAACTTCGTCACTGATATCTATAGTGACGTCGTCCAAATCTTCTCTAGAACCTAATTGTTATTATCGCCTATGTTGGATTTTGGGGTTATGGTTTTTTTTTCTACAGATTTTTCCTGTACAAATTCGTCGGAATGCCTAAGCCGTCCAGAACCAATACCTACCGTCCAAGATGTAGACGGATTTCGGGCTTGGCTACGCGTTAATCGTTTATCACCCGGTTCTTTGTTATTTATTAAGAGTAGGGAAAAGAGGAAAAAATATTTTTATATATTTATAGGGAAGTAGAGGCGTTTATTGTTGGATTATTAGTTTATTCTTCCCCCTTTTTTTGTGTGTGTATAATTCAGGAAGAGAAAAAAAAATAATATGAATTTATTATAACTGAAATTTATTAAAAAAAACAAAATAAGTTATAATTTTTTTAAGATTTCTTGGATTTCCTTTTCCTTCAATTTTATTTCCTTATCTAGATCTTCTATCTCCTTCGTCCTTAGTCTGTCTTCCTCCTTTTTTCTCTTTTCTTCTTTACTTTGTTTTATTTTCTTTAGTATCCTTTCGTCCGGAGCAAATAATTCTTCATATAGCCTGTTTAGGTCCTTTTTTCTAGAGTATTTTTTTATGTTCTGTTGCGACTCTTTTATAGGCTCTCGCAGACTCGTTGGGGCCACTGTTTTCTTAGGGACAGGCCCCAATTTTTCAAACGTTTGTACGCAAAGCCTGCAGTAGTACGGGTCGTTGCCGTGTTTACAGTTGAAGGCTTTGTTATCAGCTAATAAAGTTTTTATCCGCAAATCTAAATCTCTTCGTTTCCTATTTATTTGGAACTGTTTTTTCTTTTCGGCCTCATAAATATGTTTAGGTAGCTGTGTAACAATTTTTTTCATAAACCCCAGATCAGCCCCGGAAAATACTTCAAATAAAAAAATGTTCAATAGACTGAAATTTACTCGATTTATCTATGTTGGTCAAATAATTTGCTCGCATTACGACCCCTCTTACCCTAGCCTGTAAAGTATAATGGACAGTGAAAATAAAAAATACCATTCGAAATATCTCTAATTTAACCCTCCAAAAATGCTCATTATTTTAATTAAACTTCTTCAGTTGTCCCAAAAAAAATTAAAAACTATAATAATTTTTTCGTTTTTTGCAACTGCGATATCTTCAATAATATTTAATATTTTTGCAAAAAAACAAGGCAAAAAAATTGCACACTTGCTTGTTTTAATTACATCCCTCTTACTTTTTTAAAATTATTAATGTATATGTCAAAACATGTTTTTTCCAAATAACCCAATAACCCAACTATTTGGAAAGAACATACAATAAAATGAGATTGTTGTTTTTGACATATATATTAATAATTTTGAAAAAGTAAGAGGGGTACAATCAAAACGAGCAAGGATTCAATTTTTTAGCCTTGTTTCTTTGCAAAAATATTAAGTCTTACTAAAAATAGCGCAGTTGCAAAAAACGAAATAATTATCATAGTTTTTAATTTTTACGGAACAACTGAAGGGGTTCAATTAAAATAATGAGCATTTTTGGAGGGTTCAATTAGAGATATTTCGAATGGTATTTTTTATTTTCACTGTCCATCACACTTTACAGGCTGGGGTAAGGGGGCTAGCGTTACATTTTCAACAACAAAAAATAATATGAAGTGTTTCTTTTTTACGCAAACTTTGAACGATAATATCTTGCTGAATTATCAATACTTGTTCAATCCTAAAATACTAAAAAATTGTTCATTATCACGAGAAATTTGTCTCATTATAATATATTTAGAAAGTACAAAATTTTTATAAATAAATTTAAATAATATGTACACTAATCAGCAGCCACAGTCAACTTCGTAAGATAACGCATGCGCAAGCCAACTATTTGAATTGCTTACAATACCAATTACATTATTCAAATTTCTTTATAAAAAATAATGTACTTTTTAAATATATTATAACGGGATGAATTTTTCGTGGTAGTGAGCAATTTTTTAAGGTGTTAGGATTGAACAATTATTGATATTTTGGCAAGATATTACCGTTTAAATTTTGCGTAAAAAAATATTTTGTATTTTATTTTGGAAAATGTAATGCGAGCAAATTATTTGGCTAACTTAACCGAATCGAGCAAATTTTATTCTATTGAAATTTTTTTTTTTTTTTACTATTTTCCGTAGCTTATCTGGGAGGTGGTATTTTTCTCGGCTGCCACAGAACTAGCAGAGTACGCATAAGCAATTAAGCATACCTTTAGTGACTATAACCATTATGTATCCATGTCAATATTTGTTTGAATTTTTTCAAAATTAAAATAAAAAATTCTTTTTTAAATTATATATGCATACGTAGTTCAGTTTAAAGATATTATTTATTAATTTTACCTAGAGGTGTAATTTATCATGGATTCTGAAAAAAATTATATACCTCATTCACAGACTGGTGACAAGGAACAGGATGAGGTTAAGATTTTTTCGTCGCGTAATTTATTATATATAATTTATTATATTATATTAAAGTTATAATATATTGTCAAAGAGCATTTGAAAGTTAATAACAACAAATAAAAATCATTGTCAAAAACTACTTTAATAATTAATTAACCGTTAGATAATTTTTTTCTTTTTTCAGGTAAATTTCAAATTGTTACAAGAAAAATGTGAAATATATTATGAAATGGATAAATAGTTTGGTATGAATGATAAAACTACGTCTGATATATAAGTAAAGTTTAAGACATATCAATCTATATTTTAAACAACTTCTTAAACAAAGAATAAATTGTCAGATGAAAAACATTGAATAAAGAATCCACTATTCAAATATCTATAAAAAAATATCAATGAAATAGTAATCATTTTTTAAACAGCAGTGCTGAATTGTCTACTTTATTACATCTGTCAATCATACATTTACGAATAGATGGTTGAATGGATATTTGAAATAATAGGGAAGTTTATTATATTGTTATTAATTAATATACCGGTGGATCTTAAAATTAAATCAAATTTTATATTTTGTTGTCTCAAAGACAGTTTAAAAGAGCAAAACAATATCACTAATTTTCAGTACATAAAAATATATAAAAATTATATTAATAATTTTTTTATATATTTTCATTTACACAAATACATTTTAATTTAAATGTAATAATTCTTTATTATTTTAATTAGATAACTTTTAATAAAGGAATTCAGCATGTCTGTTCATTTATTTGTAACAATATATAATTTAATTACTTATATATATATCTTTCTATACATTATATTTAATTACATATATGCCCAAACTGAAAATCTCTTTACAAAGAGTTAATAAATAGAAATGAAATAACCTAATTAGTTTGAAGATTGAGTGTATATAAAGAATTACTGAAATGCATTTTTCAAAATATTCATACAAATAATCAAAAAGTGCCAGGGCTAACAACTCTACATCCTTATGTATTGATTTAAAATGCAAGCAATTAAGCAACATATGAAAAAATAGTCTTTTAGATCTGGACAAATTTCATTTTTAAATGTAATAAATTTTATGACGAAAAGATCTGTTGTAGAACTTCTGTTAAACATGTAGTTTGAAAGTATTCAATTTTTAAAAGCTGATGATGTGACATTTTTTACTAACTTTGGATGTTAATAACTTATTTGATTTATAGAGGTTCCTAACCAAAATGTTCTATCATGGTATTTTCAAGCACCCATAAAAATTTCAAATGGCCTAGGAAGTTAATGGTAGAGAAAATAATGTTCCATTTTTACATGTGTTCTGATTGAATCATGTGAATAGACTTGCTTTGACAAGTGATTGATGGTAATGGAAAAAGATTACACTATTCTTTTAGAAATTGAAATCAGGAAGTATATGTCTCACTTTAATTTCTTTGGTTTTTTTATTATAATTCAAGTTTATTGTATTATATGTTATCAATATGAAAGAACTTCTTCCTTAGCAATTATTATTTTATCAAACATCGCTGTATTAATTTTCCAACAATTTTATGCATATAATAATGGATATTAAATAGACGATAGCGAAAATATTTTTTCTTACAATGAATTTATTTCTGTAGCCCCTAAACGAAAAAAAAATATTCGAATATAATGTGGACAAAATTACCTACAGTCACATAAGTCTCGATCTTAGATAAAAGTTGCGTTTATTGCTAGGTGCCGCTAGCTGGCACAAGACGATGTAACGGTTGGTGAGCGTGCATCTCGCTAGATGGTGACCACCTAGGATGAGCGGGACAGACCAAGTTTTAGATCCCATCCCCTAGCTTTCTGTGCGTGCGTGCGTGTGTGTGTGTTGTGTGTGTGTACATTTTTAATTATCTATTTTAACTATGTTTGTCTGTACCTAATTTTCAAAAAAATAATAATTATACCTAATAATTTCACAACTTGGATCGTCAATATCTTGATTATTCGATATTTTTTAATTCCTGAACATGCAAAATTTACCCCCAATAATTTAATTTACTTTATCGATTCCACTAACGACTAATTAATATTTTTTATGAAAAACTACAAATGCGTAATGTGAAAATGGATGTTTAATGCGGGCAAGGGCATGCATATCTGAGCCATGAACATGGATGTGTGTATACGGTGCATATACATGTTCAACTAGCGCATGCGCGCGTAGATAGGTATAGCCAGACGGTGTAAGACGACACGGTCGTCAGTCTGAAAGCAATTGTCTCGTAACTAGTAAGCGCAGTTATTCGGCTGTTGATGTAACTCCAAACTAATACAATATAATTAGACTTATATTTGTCAATATACTGCGACTGTTTTATTTTACATCCTAAATTTCTATAGGTTATGAGGTTACTCACACAAAAGAGAACATGTCAAGTGAACTAATTATGAAAGATGACAGTCTGTATGATGGCATTAATTGACAATTGTGGAAGGTTATAGTAACGCAAATCCATATAGCCTTCGATTTTTTGCAACTCTTTAACGGAGCGGAGGACTAACCGAAGAGTGGGACAAAAAAACGCCAAGACGATGTCCATTTTTGCAAAATCGATGGTAGCCTACGAAGTTGAAAAAATAGTCACTGCTGCTGAAATATGGGAATTACTCAGCTTAATTCATGAAAAAAACAGCGAGTGTAGTAAAATATCGCTATATCACAAGTTCCACGGAAGCGTAATGGATAACAGTGAAAATGATCAGTTACGTGACTTGAGTGTGTAACATCGTTCAGCTATTGGCGGTCGTATAGGAGAAGATCTTGGACAACGCGATCATGGTCAAAATCCTCAGTGCTCTCCCAGAGAAGTATGGAACAGCGTGGAATCCACGCATCAAACGATAAACTACCTGCAGGAATGACTGCAAAAGGAGAAGCGTTGACTTAAGAATCATCATTTGAGGCGTTCGCGAGATTTCAAAGAACCCAGCGTCAATGTGGACTGTCAGTTGGTAAAAATCAATAATTTAAAGGCGGCATGAGGAAATGAAATTATCATTATTGCAAGGAGCCTGAATATTTTATGTGGGAATGTTTAAGAAAAGAAGTTGATAATGCGCACTAAGAAAACGGCTACAATTAGAGCGCGGGCGGAAGCGGGAGCGGTGGCCATCATGGATTCGTGACGTCGTTTCTGGCGATAGTTAGAATAAATGTTGAAGTCATCGCTATATTAAGTGCCACTTCAAGGTTATTCCAGATCACACCGGCGGAAAACTGGCTCATGGACTGTTGAACTTCATGTCACATGATATTCAAAAGAGAATGGTATCATACCACCGATTATCACCACTTATCCGTGTTACTGTAGGTGATGAATCAAAACATCAAGCCATCAACACCGGTATCATTCTTAAAGGGAAACTCAATGGAGCTTGGATGAGAGGCAGATTAGAAGAAGTGCTGCACGTCCTATCTTTCAAGAGAAACCTCTACTTGACAAATGTCGCTATAAAGAAAAGACTTCAAGTAATATTCCAAAAGGATAATGTGGAAATTTGTTAGCCAAGCACAGGGGAGGTCATTGCTATGGTCAATCGTCGAGCCAACAACATCTGCGTCATGTCTATTCAAACAGTGTCGTTGGGAGCAAGTGCTATGGCATCTACATTCGAAAAGCATCAGCAATGACTCGGGCATATAACGTCTGCACCCTGAAAAAGATGATTGAAAATAACTCCATTGAAGGTGTGGCAATCAAAAGAGTCAAGGGCTTCTTTCGCGAGGACTGTCAGCTGGAGAAGGTTCACTAACCAAGTCACCGAGTCAGGATCGACAACTTTGATGACCTTGTCAGAGTCCGAATGCCTGCATGCTAACCTGGTCGGAAGAGGTATGTACACTGTGCCCATCTCTGGAAGGATCATGCTACTTATCATTGATCAAAGGCAAAATCTCCGGATACGGGCATATATATTTCCTAAAACACAAATCCGAAGATGAAAGAGTATTGCTCTGCATCTAATTCGGACGTCATATCAAGAGGATCCGCTACGAAAACGGGAACGAGTTCATCAATAAGTTTCTCAGTGGTTTTTTTCGATAAAAGAGGTATCCAGTTATGCACGTTTGCCTCCAAACGTCCGAATAGAATTATCGAGAAGGACAATCGCACGATCATCGAATCGGCACGCACAATGCTCCAGGCATCTAGTATGCCGGTGTCCCTATGGGTGGAGGCTATCAAAACCGCTGTGTATGCAGTTAATCGGACCGTCTCGGCGGGTTCTGGAATCAAGACGCCCTTCGAGATATGATTCGGTAAGAAATCGTATGTTGGATACATGCTGCCTTTCGGAAAAATCGAATATCGACACGTCGACCAAATTTTTCAGACAAAATGGGATGCAAAATCGGAAAAAATCGTCTTCGTTGGGTACGAGGAAAATGCAAACAACTTCCGCGTGTATCCAAAGTACAAACGCATTCTGATTGCGAGCGACGTCTGTTTCGATACCTCACACAGCAGGAATTCCCATTGCATGAGTTTCATTATTTCTGATGACAACCCGAGAGCAGAGCAGCTAACAACATCCAAGAAGGTGTTGCTGGATATGGCAGTCGATGAGCCGGAGGAGAGAGAGTGAGAAGGACTCATTGATCGTTCAGGAACTTCCAGCCCAGGTGAAACGAGCTACAAAGCAAAGGTTAGAGGAGAACGCAAGTTACCGAGCACTCAGATTGAAAGCAAACCTGAAAAGGCCCAAGAAATTTGAAAACTTCGAGATGTGCAGCGTGCATAGTGCACCTGCATTTCCACTCATCGCTAAGTCCACCATCTATGTAGAGGCCATCAGCTAACCCGAGCGCAGCGGATGGCTGCAGGAAATTCGCAAGGAGCTTCAGGCGCATGAGAGGAACGGATAATGGGAAGTCATTGATCGAACATCTAACATTCAGGTATTCGACACCAAAAAAAATTGTTGAAGTGATTAGACATTCAAGATTAAATTTGTGATTGATGATCTCAGAATCATTT